GGAGTTGGGTTTTTAAACATTTCCTCATCTATTAAACCTAATAAAAAAAAAAGCTTTGTTTTTCCATTTAAACAACTTTAAATTTACATTTTTTTAGTTTTTTTTTTTAATTTTCTTTCTCAATATTCTATGTAATAATTAAAATTTTTTTTGTTTTATTTGGCATCAATATTGGTTTTTACCTTTCGTGATTGAATTTATAATCATATAATTTTTGGGTTAAATCAATAAAAGTTAAATTTCATTTTTTCTAAAAAAATATTCTAGCATTTTTTTTTATAATATTAGTGTTTATCAACATAAATTCTAAAAAATTAGAAGTACCTCAAAACTATATTATTTCAATAAAACTAAAATATTTTCATCCTTACTTTAAAAATAATTTTTTTTTGTCTTTTCCAATTCAAATTTATTGAAGCAACATAATTATTTAGTTTTTTTTTCTTTGTTTTTTAGATATTTGGCTAGTAAACACATTTCTTTTTCTTTTTTTTTCTATGTATTCTTCAATCGATCATTGCATGATTTATTACTATGATATTTTGGTTTTTATTTTAATAAATACATTTATATCTAATTTTTTTCTAAGAATATATCAATGAAGAGGATTACAAGTGAATCTTTTATAAAAGAAAAAAGATTTAAAAGAAAACGAATTAGTATCTTAAAAGATACTTGAAGACTCCAATTTTCAACAATAATTCTCACCCCCATAATCGAATTTCTTAGCTCCATCATTAGTTATAATACCATATAATATTGTAAATTTATAATTTTATATAGTATTAAATGAGTATAACTTATTATTAAATGAATGAAAATATACAATATTATAGATAAATTTCTAAATAAAAATTTTAATTATATAAACAATATATTATGTTATAAATTAATTTTAAATACCACATAATATTATACATATATATAGCATTTTCATAAAATATAAACAATATTGCTAGCTAGGTTTTAACCGCTGAGTGAGTAAGTTGTGGCTAGAAAGTATAAATTCTGATCCTAGATTATGTTTTCGGTCAAAAGTTTTTATCATTCTTTGTATCCGATATTCCTAGATTTGATGCTTGTTTAGTATTGTTTGCTCCAGAAAATGCGTGATAAATCCAATCATATTTGGAGGAATCTATTCATGTCTCCAAACAAAGCGTAAAACCTAGAAGAGAAAAAAAAAAGAGAGAGATGGAAGGAATTAATGGTTGAAAAAGAAAAATAGAATAAAACTCTTACTACATAATATTTAAGGAATAAAATCAGATTTTATGTTCCAAATATATGAAAAAAAAATTGAAGTTTTAACTTTTAAATGAAATTGTTTTATTTCATTAAAATTTAATTTAAAATTTATAAATTTATTTTATTAAATATTGATACTTAAATTTAAAAATTAATTATATATTATATATGTTCTAATATAATAGATTTTTAAACTTATGTATTAATATTTAATAATATTAATTTTTAAATTTAAAAATAAATTTTAATTAAATAAGACGATATCATATAAATTTGAAATACTAATTTTTTATTTTTAATACTAATATGCATATATATATATAGTTAAAAGTTCCCACAAAAAGAAGAAACTTAGTCTTGTTTTTTAAACTTACAAAGAAAGAAAATTTCTCAAAAACTTACACAAGAAAGAAAGAAAGAATGGGTGCCTTTGCATGCATCCACCAGAGAAAGAGTTAGAGAGCACAAGCAAAGCATAATTTTCTGCTTTCATGAGCTGCTTATTGTTCTAATATTCTTTTTGTATTTTACCTTTAAAGAAACCTAACCATGAACACCAATACATGCAATGTTAGATTCTGATTATTATTATCCATCCGCATAACATTATTGAAGTTAAGCATCTTTTTATCATGAGTTTTTCGACGTTAAATTCCAATCTTCTCTCCTATATTATATTGTAGTATTGATATTCTTTCTAGATAGCTATATATATCAATCATACTCATATCCTCACCATACATACTCTCCTTAATCAATTATCCTAGTTGCATTTGCAACTCAGATTTGTACCTCCTCTTTATATTGGTGCTTTAGTCCAATTCTCATACACATCTTCAGCTCATCTTCTCCAATCCGGTTCTGTCCAGCATTTTTTGCCTGCCAAAATAGTTGCCCTCTTGTTGTTTTCCAGGAAAAACTAATCAGAAAAGTTCTCATTTTAACTGTTGACAATTTGGGGGACGTGAAGCAACACGGGCTAAACAAGGTTGGGAGGACTTATATTATTTCATTGGAGAATGAATGGTAAAAAGGAAGCTGTGGAGATCAACATTCCACCAGCTGAGAAGAAATCTGCCTTGGAAGGCTTCTCATGTAATACTTGGATATGGAATGTTTGGCACTTTTGCAAGGAAGATAGCAACAGAGTGACATTCTCATTCAAAATGGGACTGTCTGTTCTTCTAGTGTCTTTGCTCTCACTTCTCCGAGCACCTTACGAAGTTTTTGGCACCAATATCATTTGGTCCATCCTCACTGCTGTCATCATGTTTGAGTATACAGTCGGTATGTATATATGCGTATACATTTTTTAGTAAACATAGTTATCATGCATGCATATATAAGTGAGAAGCTGCTGACACATCTAATGTTTCTGGTTTATTGAGGTGCAACCTTTAATCGAGGATTCAACAGAGCAATTGGGACTGTGCTTGCAGGGATCTTAGCTATTGCAATTGGTCAGTTAGCTCTGCGTGCTGGACACGTTGCTGAGCCTATTGTGATAGGAATTAGCATATTCCTGATTGGTAATTCCTTCTAGTTCAAGGCAGTCGAAATTAAATGAAACAATATTTCATTCTTTCCTTAGGATTAAATTAGCTACAAATCAGGAAAACTGAAAGTTATAACTTATGCTAACAAGGAATAATTGTTAAAACAGGAGTTGTAACATCATTGATGAAACAGTGGCCTTCTTTTTTGCAATATGAATATGGCTTCCGGGTCACACTCTTCACCTTCGCTTTGCTCATTGTTTCTTGTTATCGAATGGGAAACCCAATAAGAATTGCCATGGATAGGCTCTACTCTATTGCCATTGGAGGAATGGTAGCAGTCCTCGTGAATGCACTTGTTTTTCCTATCTGGGCTGGTGAGCAAATGCATAAAGAGTTAGTTAACAACTTTAACTCAGTAGCAGACTCCCTTGAAGGTAATCTAATCTGAATGTTTGTCTCTTGACTTCTACTAAGAATTATTTACTTTTGAAAAGAATATCAAACAAGATTCATTGTGGAAATTTCAGAATGTGTAAAGAAATATTTAGAAGATGATGGATTAAACCACCCAGAGTTCTCCAAGACTGTGGAGGATGAGTTTCCAGATGAGCCTGCCTACAGGAAATGCCGAGGAACATTAAACTCTGCAGAAAAACTAGAGAACCTGGTACTTATTCTTAGTTCCTTGCATAAATTCCATCTTTTCCTCAACTCATTTTCTAACTAATAGGACCATAATGTCTGACTGTTATTTGCTTCAATATGAAGGCTAATTCTGCAAAATGGGAGCCGCCACATGGTAGGTTCAGGCACTTCTTCTATCCATGGTCGGAGTGCGTTGAAGTTGGAGCAGTCCTACGCTACTGTGCTTATGAGGTTATGGCCCTCCATGGAGTTGTGCACTCTGAGATTCAAGTACTTTCCTCTTAACCATTTTCATTGAGAAATTTCAACACTAAATACAAATGGATCATTCATATATATTCAAGATAACAGAATTGAAACTTTTTTCTCACTCAATATTATAGAACTACTAGCAACCAAGAAATTTATCAGAAATTGCAGTAGTTGGAAAAGAATACTGAAAAGGTGAAAGGCCCAGATGGGATTGAAAAAAAACAAAATCTAATAGGTTCATTTGGTGTGCATTCCGCGTAAATAGCATACCAATCTTGACTCAGGTTGCGTGTAAAATGATTTAATTTCACTCAGTCTTTGTTATCCCATTCTATTATCTTTTGATAATACATGTAAGAGATTCCACAAAAACAATACCTGTAAAAAGAGATTCCATGACATAGGCTTAATTCTTTGGAGCTTTGTTTATTTGTTCGTTCGCTGGTGTTACAATTGCTAAAAAGTCCCTTTTTTTTTTTATATTCGTTTATAGGCACCACACAATCTCCGAATCACATTCCAGACAGAGATCCTGGATGCAACAAGCCATGCTGCAGAGCTAGTGAGGAGCTTGGGAAAAGACATAAGCAGCATGAAGAGAAGCCTCAAGACCTCCCTACTAAAGAAGGTTCACAGCTCTACAGAAAGACTCCAGCGTGCCATAGACATGCATTCCTATCTGCTTACCTCCTACTGTGACAACCCTAATCCGGTCACGCGCTCTCAGACTCTGTCAACAAGCCTCAATGACCGGCTTGCAGATTTCGACACCAATAACCTTGAAAATACACTAACAGGGAATCTCCCACGTGCACAGGGAGACTCATCCCACTACTACCAGGACATGATGAGGAAGCCGTCAAGGAGGCTGCACTCTTGGCCTCCAAGAGAGGTGGGTGCTTTTGAAGAAGAAGGAGGGATTGGTGTGAACGTTTTGCCTAGGATGAGAGCACTAGAGAGCAGTGCAGCATTATCACTGGCTACCTTTACTTCATTGCTGATTGAGTTTGGGGCTAGGCTTCATCACTTGGTTGAAGCAGTTGACAAACTCTCAATAATGGCAAAGTTCAAGGATGAGGGACTATAGGAGGGAGTCTGCAATAACATTATGGATATGTCTACGTTAAGAGTAGAGGTTACTTTTAAAAGATGTTGAGAAATTATTAATTATATCTTTTTATAATTAATTTATATAAAAAATAAAAGTTGATTTTAAATATATCAACTTCTCAATTAAAATCATTCAAGTTATATTAATGTTAGTATTAAAAATAATATTTTACTTTTATAATTTTTATAAAAATTTAT